GTGAAGAAAATGATATTTGAAAGCGTCTACTAAACAACTAAGCTTAAGGAGTTCTTCTGCCTTTCTTGGATGACCTCTGAAATTCTTGACCCTCTTTCATTTTGTGGAATGGGTCTTTGCTTTCACTTTCCATATTATAGCACACGTATGTGATTGTTGTGTTTTTTCATGCAGGTGTTAAGAGGCTGCCCTCAGCGCGGCAGGGAACTCAGGACAATGGAGGAGCGGAAAGTGAAGAGGAGGAGTCCTAAGTCTTTTAGTGCCCACCCTACTCAGGTTGTTAATGCCAAAAAGAACGCCATTCCAGTCAGTAAAAGCACAGGGTTTTCAAATCCTGCAGCACAGTCAACTTCACAGCGACCAAAGTTAAAAAGGTAAATTTTGTCTTTCCTATTTTCACATTAAAGTACTATTAAATGCTTAATAGTAGTCAACTTTTTTTTTGCTGAACTCAGAGCCCTACACAGGCTCAGCAGTCAGGACCACTAGCTGCATCCCCAGCCCCGCGGCAACTTCTTAGAAAGGTCTTCATCTTGTCTTGGAAAGCAAGAGTTGTGTTGGGGGCCGGGGAGATGGCTCAGTAGAATAAGTGATTCCCTGGCAAGCACAAGGGCCTGAGTTCAATCCCCAGTTATGCATTAAAACAAACAAAAAGAGTCATGTTTCCCCTGAAAAATTATCAGAAAGCAAGTTTTCCTCTTGGAACAGTTGAATCAGATTTTTAATTAAATTATAGTTGGTAGAAAAACAAAGCCAAAAAAGCTTTAAAGGTACTTACTACTTTAAGTTCTTGATGACAATTGTATCCATCTCATACAGGGGATTGCACTGAGGTCACTGTAGTGGTGACCCTATGGCATACGTGCTGCTGCAGGCTGCTTATCATTGACAGCTCTAGAAGGTTTATCACCACTGCTCTAGCCCTTTTGTTATTTTTTAATAAAACTCAAACTGAACTGGCAATCCTGCTTCACCTCCTAGGATTACTCCTAAGATTACTCAGTTTTTTTTTTTAAACCTGGTAATTTTATTCGTATGTCTTCTTCTAGAATGTAAAGTTTGTTTGGGCAGGAACCACATTGATCATCATTATATGCCTGACAGTGTTTACAGTGGCAGCTACACATACTGTAATTTCATCACGCGTGGTTTTTGTTACTGAGTCGTTTTAACAAAAGGTGAGACGGTGTGACAATCAGAAGCAGGGGAGAAGGAATAAACCGGATTTTATCTTTGGTTTTCATTTGTTTATTTGAGGGTTATTAGATGATGAGTGGGTGTAAAACCCTTACTTGGGTTGAACTTCCGTATTTGAAAGGAAATAAGTATATTTGCTATATTGAAACCGTACAGTAAATGATGGTTTATTTCCTGTTTTAATGTGAGTACGGATTTCTTGGGGATCTTTTTGGAATGCAGATTCTCAAATCATTCAGTCTTGGATGAGGCTTCAGATGAGCATTGCTTTTTTTTGTTGTTGTTTAAAGTATCTGTTTGTTTATTTATTTATTGGCTACAGGGTCTCTCTACGCAGCTCAGAGTCATAGTGACCTTCCTGTCTCAGCTTCCCCAGTTCTGGGATTACAGGCATGCACTACCATGTCCAGTTTCGGTGGTCGCCATGGCATGCCTGGGATTCCAGGGCTGATACAGCATGTGGTAACAGGGATCAAACCCAGGTCCTTGCTGATAGGTTCTGGCCCTAGTATGAATCGCTGAATTATTATAGTGGTCATCTAATATGGCTGAAGCCCTTAAAACAACAGCTTATCTTCCCCAAGACCACCTCCCCCCATCTCCAACTTTGCCCAGGGTGCAGTTTCTTTTCACCTTTCCTGCTGCCTCCAGGAAGACCCCAGTCAGCTCCTCAGGTATATCTAAACATCCCTGGGCTGGTGAGATGGCTCAGTGGTCTAAAGCACCTACTTAGAACAAGCTTAGCAAAGCAGAGGGACTGTGGTTCAATCCCCCAGCACCACATGCCAGCCAGCCCTGCCCTGTGGTGGGCTGAGCTGGCCACACACACGCACACACACACAGACACGCGCGCACACACAAACATTAAAAAAAAAATTAAATAAACATTCCCCCTCAATCTCCAGCCCTGGCAAAAGGCCAGAAAAGCCTCAGCCGCCCTTTATTCAACTCCAGAGAATCCCTCATCTTCCCCATATTCTCTCCTTGCTCTCAAAGATAATAAAGCCCCTTTCCCTTTTTCCTTCTGCCTGTTTCTCTGCTGTGATGCATTGAAAACCTATCACCCGCAGGTGCTTAGACCACCCAGCCGTCTCCCCAGCCCCAGGTGAGCATTTCTGATCAGCTTCCCAGGTACTCCCTGGTGTTCTGGAGGTTAGGATCTGGCACTCTGTTTCCTAGGCTCATGGGTGAGGTCAAGGATACTGAGTCTTGGTCCACACTCTTGAAACCAAAGTGCTGGATGATGTGATTTAATACCATGCACAGAAAATGCAGACAATGCTTTGCTGTCAGCAGCCTACAAATTCTAAATTGCTTGTTAAGGGTTAGTTTTTCTTGTGCTTCATCCTGTCCTTGGTCATATGTGTATCCTGTTTATCTTCTTAGAGTGAATATAGTTGTCCATGCAGGAGATGCCTGTTCAACATTATGTAAAAAAGCGTTGAGCGCTGAACTTGTGCGGGGAGGGCGGGATTGAGGTGTGCAGTATGCATTGGGATATAAAGATGCCCTGTTTGACCTGTTTAACTTCTACTTGCTTCTTAAGCCTCCCCTCCTAGTATTAGGGAGTGAGCCTGGGGCATCACTCTGAGCTGTATCCCCAGCCCTTTGAATTTTGAGACAGGATCTTGGTAGGTGGCTCAGGCTAGCCTCCAATTCGAAATCATCCTGCCTCAGCCTCCTCAGTAGCTGAGGATATAGGCATGCATCATATTCCTGGCTGGCCTTGAACTGTGCGAACTGGGCTCTCTGTTCTTATAATGTGCATAGTACAGTGCTCAAACGTGTGAGAGCCTGGTAGATGACAAATGTGTATAATAAGTGCTAATTAGTGTACTGGTTCCAAAATGCCTCCCTGAGAAAAGCATTAAACTGAGACTTGAAGGGTGTGTGGGAAATGGCCTGGGAAGATGCCATTCCCGCTGGAAGAAGTGGAAGGATGTAAAGATGAAAATTGCAAAAATGAAATTGACATGCAAGAATATGGTGAATTTCTGAGAAAGTTCCTTTTTTTTTTTTTTTTTTGGAGGAACAGGGATTGAACTCAGGCCCTTGTGCTTGCCAGCCAAGTGCTTATGCTACTGAGCCATCTCCCCGGCCTCTTGAGTTTCTAGCAAACTAAAGAGTGAGCATTAAAGGGTAGACAAAGGAAGGTAGAGCTCAAGCATACCAGACTTTGTCCAGCAGCCTGTGTAAAGCTATTGAAGGATTTAAATTAAGTTATAAGATCTGATTTTATTTATTTATTTTATTATTATTATCTTTTTGTGTGTGGTCGGCTCAGCCCACCCTGGGGGTAGGGTTGGCGCGGCATGTGGTGCTGGTTCTAATTGTGGTCCCTGTGCTTGCCTAAGCAGGTGCTTTAGATCTCTGAGCCATCGCACAGGCCCCTGATTGTACTTTGTAGAAATGGCTTGGCTGCCTTGTAAGGAGGAAAAGGGGCCGAGAAGCCATGCCCAGACATGAGGATGGAGATTCTTACCAGGTCCTTGTGTCGAGAGCAAAGAATTGGGCAAACTGTGCAAAAAAGGTGGTGAGGTTTTGCATTTATTAAGTAGGAAAAGAAACATGCTCAACAGTATACGTGCAGGCCAATTAAAAGTAGGAGAAAAATATGCTCTGCAGAATTCAGAGTGGGCTACTAAAAGAATATGGTGGCCACGAGCTTTACAGCTCGTATTGTATCACCCCTTGTGATGTCAGATCAAGGTGTCTTGTCAAAAACCTGTTTGATCTCACTCCAGAAGAATTGGAGATAGCATTTCCTGTCTGCCTTTTTCTTTCTTTCCTTTCTTTTTCTTCTCCTCTACTCCTTCCCTTCCTCCCTCCCTTCCTTCCTTGTTTTTGTTTTTTTAAATAAGCTGACCTTGAAATCATTTTGTAGCCCAGGCTACCTCATCCTCCTGCCTCAGCCTCCCAAGTGCTCAGTGTACAGGTGTGCACCACCACACCTGGCTGAAGATAGCATTCTCTAGTTGGTCTCAGGTGCAGGGATTGGGGTCGTGTGCCCAGGCTGTCCACAACCAACAGGTCACACTGTGATGTTGTCCACCTTGGTAGTCTACTGTCCACTCCCTAATCTCTGGCCTCATTTCTGCCTGGGACATGAAACCCTTCATTCCTTATGGATGATGAGTGTGTGGCAGTCTCTGTCTTTCTGTGGCTACTTCCCTCTGGTTGGTAGGAGGTACAGGCCCTGCTACTGGAGATTACGTTCACTCCATCTGCCTTGGGCAGCGGTGGCTCTGGCTGGGTGGGAAAAAACCTGTCAGGAGACAGCCAGGAGTCAGCGCCTATGTGTGAGGCCATGGTTAGCTGCCTGCTCGTGGGAGAAGGCTGGGTGAGTGTGCCAGCATCTGGGGCTGTCCTCCATCTTGGATCGCTGTCTGAAGCCTTGAGTGGCTACTGTGAGGTGGGCGATGTAGAGCCCAGATGTGAGCAGGAGAGGCCAGAAGGTGTCCTGCACATCTACAGAGGTGGACTGTGACACATGCAGCAATTGGGGACATTAAGGTTTATCGTCATGCTTCTCGTGCAGGGCAAAGCATGGCAGACAAACTTTAGATAAATTACCAAGGACCCGAGAGCTGACTCCCTAGCTACATTACCTGTGCTATGAATATAATTAAAAGCAGGCATCCCAGGGTGGGTGTCCATGTAAGCAGTGGTAGCTGAGGTGGCTGAGTAGTGACCCCTTGGCTACACCCGGAGCAGTACTGGAGTCGTGGTTTTTGAAGCAGATTCTTAGGTCTTTCAGAGGTGCACAGAGTCACTTTCTTCCTTTGGATGTCTTGCTCTTCCGACAGCTGGCTGGGGCTGGTGGGAAATTGTCAGTGACCTCTACTGCCATGGGGGTGGTGAGGATGGCTGAAAAGGGGCACTGCCATTTTTGGCTTTCATTGGTCTGCAGGAGTCCCCTCTTCGCAAGTTCAGTGAGCACATGGTACAGCCTGGACACTAGGTGGTTCCCCTAGGCTGGGAGCTAGCGAGACTTTGTTCCCATGTAGTCGGATCGCCCGTTGCTCTTGGTCAGGTGAATCAGTATTTGTTTAAAGCCCCACATGGTGGCATGTGGGTGAAGTCCACTTGCTGGTCCCCCAGTGTGCCCGGTCCTCTGTACAGATTCAAAGGCCTGTCAGGCGGTAACCACTAGTCCTAGCCCTGTGAAAATTTGAGAGACCATTTTTTTTTTTCCAAGCCAAACTGTATCCGGCTTTATTAAAGATACTTTTCATAAACAATCATGGTATTTCAGGCAGGACATGGGCACACAATCTTTAACAGTATACGACAACTTTCAAACTCCCTTGGATGGACTACCAAAAATCAGAAAGCCACTATAAAATCCAATGAAGTCTGCATTTGAGGCTCTGAAGTAGGGAAAGTTTAGAGTGAGGGTTGACATTTCACATTTAGCATGTTGTTTAACAACTTTTCACAAGCCGACCCTGACTTTCGGGAAATGAAAATGGCAGAATCATCAATCTGAAGATCCACAATCTAGAAAAAAGAAATCAATTGTTCTTGTGGGACACCACCTCAACATTACTGGCAAGTCCAGATTGCCTGACACACTGGTAACATCACTTTTGGGAATTAGATCCCAATAGGTCTCTGGGCTTAAGGGAGTTAAGCCTATGCTGATGGCAGAGGAAAGGAGGACATAAAATGAACTGGGAGCTGTCCCATACCACAAGGCGTTTATGCCAAAGTGGCCACATGTGTAACATCAGGGAATCCCTCCTCCTGGGAGCCAAGAGGAAGTCTCTCAAAACCAGCAGGGAAAGGCACCTTCCCCACATCAATCCAGCTTGGGAGACATTGTACTACTGACATATGCTCCTTCCCCCCAAAACAACAATGAAGTGTTCTGTGTGCTAACAACATAGCTTAAAAAAAAAGTAAAACAAAATTCTGCATTTTTATAAAACTTGATAAAAAATAGTATTTCAAACTGTACAGTCACCAGAAGTACAGTTATCAAAAATGCACACACTTCACTTGGCATCTCCAGCACCTTCAGCTTCTTGTGCCTGGTCTGCTTTGGCATCTCCATTTTCTGCAGGGTTATTCCCATCCCTGCTGGCATCAGCTTTTCCCTTTTTCCCTTTGGGCTCCTTCTCTCCCTTCTTTGCTGGCGCCTTTTTAGGCTTGGGCTATGGCTTTGGAGGAGCTGGTTTAGCAGACAACCTTGCAGATCTCTGTGGTTCATCCTTCACCTTGGCTTTATCACCTTTAGCATCCCCTTCGGCCTTTCTCTTGGGCATGGTGGCGATGGTGGCAGGTCACAGGCGCTAGACACGAGATGCAGCGGCGTGCAGCTTTGGGCGGCCCGGGGGTCGTCCTCACTTCTTCTTCACACTGCTCCTGAGAGACCATTTTTCCATGTAGCATCTCTTCTCCTTTTCCATGTAGCGTCTCTTCTCCTGTGGAAGAATCATGGAGACGGTTTAGTTTTTCTCCACCATCTTCCTTGAGGAAGTTTGTTTTCTACATACCACCCCCCATTCCCCTTTACCTGAGGCCCAGTTATCTTCCCGGGGCTGTGGCCTGCTCTTACTGGGTCACCAGAACTAGGGCCAAGGCTAGAGCCTTGAGGGACTAAGGCTGCCCTTCTTGCCTTTGTCAGCTTTTTGGTTTCCCAAAGACTTTAGACATGTCTTTTCTGTGTCCCCTGCAGTGAGTGACAGCAACCTGCCTGGGAAGATAGACTGCCTGTGGGAGTTGTAGAAGTTCCTGCTTCTGCCTCACCCACCAGGCTGTGCCTGAGGATTAGAGCACGGTTAATGGATGGGTCTTGTACCTTTTTGCCTTCTCCTGAACACTTCACTGCAGGGAGCCTGGGGGTAATGCAGGGGACTGGCAGGGCACTGAGGGTGCTTGAGAAACCTGCCTGGGAGAGGCTGGGCACCGTACAGTACTCTTCTTTGATTCACTATTGTTTTTGTTTGAAAAATTGGCTGGGATCTTTCGGTTTTATAACCACTGGCGTCACTGAATTTGCCCTCCCAAATATTGCATTATGCCATCGGGCAGGATCTGCCTGAAGGTCATGGATGCCCAACATAGACCCGTTCGGTAAAATCAGCTTTGGCCTTTGCTGGA